TTTTTCTATAAAGTCGCATGGTTGGTAGTGCAGTAAAAATAGCAAAATGTTAAACTACCACTCAGCTTTAAAGCATTTCAGGAAAGCACTGACTGGATCTGTCAGTGGAATGAGTGCCTTTGGAGAATGACCTAATTATCACAGAGCTCGTTCCCTCTCACTGCTCCACTTCCTACTAATTGCAGGACTGCTGGCCTCCTCCCCCTGACAAGGCAGAAAAACAAGGACAGGGGTGTGTGGAGAAAACAGTGACATTCAGTTTTAATTCACTTGAACCTGCTGCCCAGCAGTTGAGACTGGTGGGCTTACAGCCACTTGGGCCGAGTTTCTGATGGTAGCAATTGCTGGGGTTCTGCTAGGATTTTAGCAGTTACTCAAAAGCGCTATTAGTCAGGCCTGAACTAATTTCCCTCCCCTTCCCTCACCAGATGTAGATACAGAGGTCCTTATTCTAAGACTTGATTATTTGTCATTAAGGAAAGCAAATTGAAGCCAAATTGAGGCTGCTTTTATTCCTTAGTAAAAGCATCATCATCATTTAGAAGCAGCCTCGTATTTCAGTGTGTTTTCTTCTGATGGTGATGTAGTATCTGGTGTCATGCAAAACTCAGGAACTCAATGTTTATTTCCAGACTGGGAGTGTATTTCCATCTTGCTTGAGACATTTTTACCCTAACTTTGATTTTTAATGAGTGAAAACATATATATGAAAGTCATATAACTTGGTGAAATACTTCAGATGCGGTAGCTTGTCTTTTATTTGTAATTTTGTTCATGGAGTCTTTGCTCCTCTTTTGGATCAATGCCACTGGTGCAGATGTTTTGTACCAAGGGGCTGTTCTCTCCTTGCCAACATTATAACGCTTCAGAAATGCTCTCTTCTCAAAGTTCAGCCATACGTTCCCTGATTCAGAGAAAGCTCAGGGTGTTCCAAGGCCTCCCGGAAATGTCTTGTTTGGATAGGAGTCCATCCCTGGAGATGTGCTTCTTGATTTTGTAATATCCTGTGTAATGTGTGGGGTGGAAAGAAAGGGAAGAAGCCAGAGAGAAAAGTCTTACTAAAGTAAAGTGTGGGAGGCCAGGTGCGAAGTATGGGGCTGCTTTGCTGAGTAAGTGTGGCTGACCCAGAGTTAAGACTGCGTAACATTTACATTATTCTTTCTAGTCCGAAAGTATTAATAGACATTTTGTCATTTACTCACCATGGTGGTCCACAAGGTAAATTAGCATCTTTTAAAAATGTTTCCAATTCATTTTGACAAATAGTTATCAAGCACAGGCTATGAGTTAAGTACACTCCTCTTAACTGGGTGATACAAAGAAATAACACCTGTTAACCAAGGGCACTTTTAATTTTTTTTTCAGCTATTATACGTGAAGGAGCAGCATTGTCATATATGTCCTACATCTTCCTACCTCTCTGCCTTCTAGAAAATATTTTATGCCTTTCCGTAACCTTAATCTTTTATTAGCTGCTTTATCTTTCCTACAAACATTAGAAAATGCAAAGACCAAAGCAAAATAATGCAAAGAACATTATCTGTCCTATAGTACGTAGCCATTAAATACTTGCTGAATGACTGAAATGAGTTCTCAGTTCTCAGTAGACCTTTACTGCAACTCTACACTGGAATGAAATAGGGAATAAGCAGATATACACAGGCCTCCCACCCCACAAACAGACATTTGAAAGTAAAGAAATACAAAAACCTCCACAGAATTTATATTCCCTGCTTGCTAAATCTATCCTAATTCTTCTTTCCAGTCAAGGTAGGCCTGGAAATGCTCTCTATTGCCTCATCTTTCTCTTACTTTTCATCCTCTCAGGTGCCATCTATCCCCACCACTTTCCTAAAGAAAATCTTGACAAAGGCATCACTTCCTCAACAGGATGGGCAGTCACTCCCATGCTCCCCCTGCCCAGGCTCTCTGTTGCATCTGACACAGAATTTTTCTTCCTACTTGGAAGCATTTCTCACCTTGGCTTTGAGATGTCCTATCTCCTGTCTCTCTTCCCTCCCTCCCTCCCTCCTCTCTCTCTTACACTTTCTCTCTCTCTCTTTCTGATTTTTCTTCTACCTTCTTTTCTGATTCACTTTTTCATGTGACAACTAAATACTAAAGTGTCTCAATCTCCCTTTTCATACTATACTAGGAAGTTTTGTCTATTGCTATCTCTGTAAATAACGTTTTATGTTGTTGCTCCTCTGATCTATATTTTAAATTGCATCCCCTTTTCTGAGTACCAGCCTAACATATATAGCTCCTTCTTGACATTTCTACTTCTATGTCTCGCAAGCTTTTCTGACTCAATATGTCTCAAATCAATATTTTAATTTTCCTCCTCTCCAACAAAACAAAACACAAAACAACAACACCAAAAGTAGATGACCAATTGTTATCTTTACTGCCCTTTCTCCCAGCCTAATCAGTCTATCACCAAGATCTATTAATTCCTCCTCCAAAATATAACTCAAACCATGTATTTTACCAATCAATTTTATTGCCAACTGCCATTCTCTAAATTGCTTCAATAGCCCCTAAGTCATTTCTCTTACTCTGCTCTTGCTGCCCTCAAAAATTCAATCTTCAGCTAGGTTTTATTTTAAAAATGCAGATCATTTCTTTGCCCCTGCTTTCATAAAACTGTTAATAATCAATAATTGGATTCTCTATTACATGCTTTCCCTTTCTTTCCAAGAACACATGCCATATTTAACCATAGAGTTATTTGCATAATTATTTGCTACTTCTCCCAACACAGGTACAAGTTGCATAAGGGTGGGAATTGAGAGTATTTTTTTGAACACTCAATGAACTGTGTTACGTACAGTACCTATATTTTCTTTTTAATTGTTGTTTGGTACTGGGGACCTTGGGCTTGCAAGGCTGGAGCCGTGCTGCTGAGCTAAATCCCTGGCCCCAAACTTAATATGTTATTTTAGTAATGAATAAACATTTCATTATTGAATGAGCCTGTAAATAAAAGAGGAAGATTGACCAAAGTATGAGGTGAAAGGTGATTCCCATCCAAACATCATTTGAAGAGTTCCATAGTTAATTTAGTCACCCCTTAACAAATATGTGGAGTCAGTGAGCTAGATTTGATCCTTTCTTGAAACTGTTTTAGTTCAGGTCCTGTTTTTAAGTCCAAGGAATTTTGAAGAATTAGAACCTCTCCTGGGTGGGCTTCAGAGGTTACTAGAATAGTTTACAAAGTGAGATTATAAAACAGTCCAAGGTATGTTGATTTGAAAGACCCTGTGTAGGCTTGGCTTCAAATAGTGGGTCTGCCAGTTAAGTGGATTGTAATCTTTGTCCCATGCCAACTCTCCAGTGCCTCAGTGTCTTCATGTGTGTAATGGACATGAGACCAATACTCCGTAAAGCTCTTATGACTTCACTACATGTCAGTGGATGGGTCCACCACTCAGCACAGCTGCTGCCACATGGAAGATGATGTCTACATTTTACTTTTTCTCCTTTTCCCCCTTACTGCACTTCTTGACTTGTGCTACTTTTCCCTTCTCCTTTTATTTTTTCTCATTCATCTTGGTGGGTGGCAATATTTGTATTACGCACATAGTTTGGATTTTGTAGAAAGAGAAGAATTAGCAGTACTTACAGAACAGACTTCCTTTTGGATTAGAAATACAAACTTCACAGCTTCTCTGCCCAGCTTTTCAAGAGCATTTTATGGTACACCGCTGTGTAACAAGTTCATTTTAGGATAACATGCTGGGAGGGAGAAAAAGAAGACAGGATTCGAGGGGAGAAAATTAAAAAGTTAATTAAAAGAAACAACTTGGTAATTGAATTTCGTTGCAGTCCTCTTTGTTTATTGGGATGGGGGGTCACAGTGCAAGGTTAGGAGGTATGCTTCGGTGGAGCACCCCAAAACTTCTAAAGGAGACAAGTATGAAAGTACAGAGCAAAACCTTGCCTAACAGATGGGGAAATCTGTAGGATACATATGGCAGGCTTTTTAGGAGAACTGGACAAGGCTGCCCTCATATTCATTCATTCCTGGGGATTTACATTTTTAAGTATTCTTGGCAGCTGACAGCACTGTCAGGCTAAGCCCTGGCTGAATATCAGCTCGCTTAAGGGCGTGCAAACTTCCCTTCTCAATGACTCTGCCTTACCACCTTTGGCCTCATTATGTATACACACTCACACAACACACAAACACAAATGCATGATAAGAATAATTCCTGAGCCCCTCAGATGGTATTCTAGTATTAATTAGTTAGATCTTTTTTTTTTAAAGCTTGGATATTTATGTATTTAATTATACTTTGTCACAGGTCATTGAAGAGTTGCAACTGTTTATTAAAATGTTATCATTGAAAAAGTCAAGGTCCAATAATGAAGAATCACGGGCCATTGAATCATGATAGTGCACACCTGTAATCCCAGCACTGTGGGAGCTGAGGAAGGAAGATTGCAAGTTCAAGCCCAGCCTGGACAATGTAGTGATTTAGCAAAGCCCTGTCTCCTAGTTTAAAAAATAAATAAATAAAAAGGGGCCAAGGCTGTAACTCAGTGCTGGGCCCTGGGTATAATCCCTGGTACAGGAAAGCAAAGCATCGATTTAATAATCAAGGAGATTTTGGTTCACACCCATCTCACCCACAACCTTTATGTATCTGTGCAATCAATCTATATTTCCGAGTGCTGATGGTGTGGCAGATATTACTACAGTTGCTGTTGATGACCATATGCAGATTCTTATTATGGCTCTTATTAATTTGGGTTTGGACAATTAATATTAGAGATAGACTCATGTCTACCCTCTAAAGCACTCTGTAGAAAATGAGTTATATTTGTATCTAGAGGTATCTTCCAAAAGGTGAAGGACTACTGATTTGAGAACCTTCATCTTCAATCAGGTTCTGTTCAGAAGAGATGAATGCAAGTCTGACTACAAACATGAATTCATCAGTGTGATGGAGATGAGCTGCCTGTGAGCACTAATGAGGGGTTCTGTATTTTCACAGGTTATGGTTTTGTAGATTTTGACAGTCCTGCAGCTGCACAAAAAGCAGTAGCATCTCTCAAAGCAAATGGCGTACAGGCACAGATGGCCAAGGTAAGACTTCGTGTGTGTGTGTGTGTGTGCGCGCGCATGTGTGTGTGTGTATTTCTCATTTGCTATGAGGTGACTCTTAAGTAGAGTTTGTAACAATTTGCGTTGCATTTATTTTGTCAGAAAAATTAACTCTACAACTGATTTGCCGTACAATAATTTGGCTGATTTATTTCATTTCATATTTTCTGTGTGTGTGTTATTATTAATGTGTGTATATTTGTATCTATTTGTTATGGTAGTTGCATTACTGATTTAAGGATATCCTAAAATACGAGAGAAAGGAGATAAGTTTGTATGTGTGTAGGACTTGCACTGGTAAATAGGGTTTGGGAGCAGTACAACTGTCGGCAATTTGTCTTTGGTTAATTATGATAAACATTGTTTTTGTTTTTATGTTGGAGAGAACTGAATGTTGAATGATGGAACTGTCTGACCTGTGCAGGGAAATTAGTTTATTAGAGCATTCTTTGTTTCGCTAGCATTGCACTTTGGCCGAAACAGGTGAATATTTCCTAGATAATAATTTCTTGGATATTAAAATGTTTCAATATATATTATCGGTATGTAGAAGATATCTGGAAATGGCTATCTGAAAGTATAATGTATTTCATATCTAAAAAATAAAATATTGTATAAAATTAGTATGCGAACTTGAGTTATAAGAATTTTCACATATGATGAAATAATATATAAATTACCTACATGATATTGTAATATCAATTTTCTGCTTTAATGTGATTCTTTACTTAGTGTGATGTAACATTTGTCTGCTAATTACCAAGAATCTCTCTGTTCTATTTTTGCAACTTCCTATAAATCTACAATAATTTTTAAAATAAAAGCTAAAATAATATATAATATCTGAATATTTGGAAGATACGTATATTAACATAGTAGTCATTTTGGGTTTTTTCACACACAACCAAAATTTCAACATGCTCTTTCTAATTTATTTTACTGAACATTTTAATCTCCATATTGTCCAGATTGTTGGAATCCTGATCTACTACATTTATGAGATATTCATGAGTTCAATTGATCTTAGCTATCCCCGTAAAGCTGAGTACTTTGGCAATGGAGCAATCACATACTCAGTCCTCTGACTTTTGTTGTGGTTACTAATAATTTCTGCTACATATTTCTGATTTGAAGCTCAGATTCTAGAGGTAGGACACATGGTTCTCTCATCTGCAGTTGTTGTCTAACAAGCTGTTGTAGACCATATCTGCTAATCTAGTGTTTCAAGTCTTTTCCCTTATGGATTACTTTTCTCTTATAGAATGAGTGTCCATTGTGATATTTCAATTACTATTCAAGGCAATATAAATTAGAATTTGAATTCTTTCTGCCATGTAATATATTCATCATCAGGATTATGCCCGGATGCTTTGAATTTGGTCATGAACTAAGATTGATGAAGTTGGTATGTTTAATTAATAAGGAAATTACATACATGCCTTGGTTTAAAGGTTACTTGGTAAAAAGAGTCAATAGTAACTTCAATAGCAATTTTCTGTACCCAGAATATAAGTGATAAAATGTAGCTGTTATATACTTGAATTTGAATGAAAAGCAGTACCTATTGACAAAAAAATGAGTATAAAATTGTTTCAGAAAAAAATTGTTGTTGGAATATTTTTCTATTCTATTAGTAAAATCCTGAATTCTATAAATTGCTAAAAATAATGAATACAGTCTGTACTATTTCTATTACTTCAAATCTTCTCAGAATAGATGCATATAATAGTATATATGCATATTTAAGTTGTTGAGTAGGAACAAGTAAATAAATTTGACATGGATTCATAAGTACTGTGGTGCCACTGTGAATACTTTTCCTGTTTCCTGGGATTCTGGTACATGAGGAATATTTGTCTCCATCTCTTTTCCGTGTTCACATGCTAATCACTGACATCTCACATAGTCAAGTAACTCTCAGAGGGGAAGTATTAAAGAGCTTTTAAAATAATTATTTATTCTAGCCAGAATTTTTGCCCCTTGCAGTAAGAGGATTCCAAATCAGAGTATTTAAAGTCACTTACTTCCAGAGTCATTCATAGATTTTTCACCATCTGTGCTGTCAGTAAAAGGAATTCTTTTCTTTCACAAAGTTGGGATTGAAAACCTAGAACTTTAGATTCACATCTAACTAGAAATTTTTCAGCAATAAGTGGCTGCAATTCAGCTACCCAGAAGAAAAAAAAAATAACCTCCCTTTGGCAATGAAATGGAACAATCTTGACCACCTGTATTAGCAGATTTCTCACTGAGCTATTGGATTTCATGGCACTTTTTTCTTTGTCCTAGTGATAATTGTTATTTATTATAATATAAACCTGCAGTCTGCAGGGTGTGTGAAACTTGCACTATATTTTTGGTCATTTGAGTGTCTACTGAATATCCTCCTATATCTTCATTCTTATCAGTACCTTACTATACAGATTGCGGTGTCACATTTTAAAGACCCCAGGATTTTAAAATAAAAATGTGACAAATAACCTAGGTTCCCAATAGCAGCCTGGAGCTAATATGAAAGTCTTCATGTGAATTGTTTTATTTAGCAAACCCATTCCAATATGTGCACATGAGAATTCCAATCGGTGTGTCAACTAAAAGAAATTTAGTAACAGATTATCTGGGAAGTAGTAATTGATTATTAGTAAATAACCATTAACAGAAGCTAAAATTTTCTGTATAATTGCTGTTTTGCCAGAAATGGGATTTGGGGATCAAAAGATAGGCTTTTCTCTGAATAACAGATTAACAATATTTTAGTAACCATAGTAATTAAGAAAATAGGGCTTGAATCTTGATGCTGGTAACACCTGGATGTGTCACCTTGGTAAGTTATTTAAATATCTTTGAAATCTTCTAGTAGTAACACTGTACTTGGGTTATAGAATGGCTGTAAGATTTGTTTTAAATGCCCGACTAATTTGGCAACTTTCCTAGCTTGTAGGAAGAAGTCAGTTGGTGTTAATTATTTAATAAATGTTATTATGTATTGAATTCAAATTTGCTACTACACCTTTTTAAAATCCTCATGTATCCTTAAATGTTATGATATTACAAAATAATTTATTGAAAGTAACAAAACACACCATTAGTCAGTAAACACTTTTATTGCTTACTTTGTACCCATTATATTGGATATTAAAGAGTGGACTTAGAGTAAAACCTCTTTTTATTCTGAATTTTCAACATTATTCCATTATCCATTATTGCTACAATTGTAAACTAGTAATTTTGGCTAGTTATCATTTTTGCTGACCTCAAGATACACAGAAAAAGTTATTGGCCAGGGAATATGTATTTCCAATAGCATGAAAAGAAGAGCATAAATGAAATTCAGGTAACAATAGCTTAATTTACAAGTGTTTATTTTCCTCATGTACAAAGAAGACCAGGGATAGCCAAAGTAGAGCAGACGCTTTGGGGTACCATCAGGATCAAGCTTCTCTGGCATCCTTTACCTCTGGCTTTCACAGTGTACATCTGTATGATGATTTCTAAAGATACACCCCCTGTATGCACGGTTAATCCAGAAAAATGAGAAAAGGGCAAATGAATGAAAGAACATTATGGCTAATTTTGTCCTTGCAAATGGGAGACTAACTTCACTGGTACACAAGTAGAATAAATCAAAGTAGTCATAAGGTTTTTTTTTTTTTTATAAAATCTTATTTTAATACAAGTCACATTAAGTGATCACGTCCTTTTGGATCAGGTATCCAAGGGGATTTTAAGTACTTTTACAGGAATAACAAAATGCATCATCTCTGCCATGACAGAGAGAAGAAGATTCAAACCAGAGGAAAATAATTCTCTCCTGTAAGTCGATGAACTTGATAGGTTGCTTGGGGGGAAAACAGCCAAAATGATCAGATTCTTTCACTTATTATCTGAGGATATGAAAGATGAACTTCATTGACTATGAGAAAGGAAACATTTTCAATGCAAACATACCCAATTAATTTACAAAAGATATCATCTCATTTGGGCCCTACAAGTTATATTTCAGTGGGAGAATTTTAGCTAATTAAGGAGAAGCCTAGTCAATAGACTATTCAAAAAAGACTAAGAATACAGCTAGTAGCCTCAGGATCTGACTGGTTGCCTACCAACATCAATCTTAGGAATGCACAGGTATGTATTAGATTTTTGTCATCTAGGCTCCTGTAGTCTAAGAAAGCATTCATAGTCTTTGATTGTATGATTTCTAGGTATAGAAGATTACACTGACTACTTGACATCCCTGAATCACTATAATGAAGGGGAAACTATTGCTAAAGCCCTCGAGCATCAGGCTTCTCAAGAGTTTTCACAAGCAAAGGAGAGTGAGATGTTCAAGGGTAACTTTTAGGCAGGCAGTTCGGGAGATATTGCTTGTAGGAGTGATGGGAAATTCACTTGATTAGTATTTTATAATGGTGGGAGTGCTGTCTGGAGAGCCTAATATTCACAGAATAATGTCCAGGTAAATTTTTTAATTGGTCAATAAGATCAAGGCTAAGAGAAGCTTTTATATAATGTCATTCGCTTGTATCCCCAATTTTTCCCTGGAGAAAAAGTGCTAGGAACTGGAGTTGAAGCAGTAAATTGCCATTCCTCTATATTCTTATCACATGTTTTTGAACATGTATACCTACTGTACACCAGCATTGTTTTACATGCTGAAGACAAAGCACTGAATCAAGCCAATGAGGATAGGCAGAAAACAAACATACAACAAAAGAACATAGTATATGCTGTGCAGTCAGAATTAGTTTGGAGACAATTGAAACTGGTTTGGCTTACAAAACAGAAGATGGAGATGGTGGTTTTAACTTAAACAAATATATTTTAGCTAGGGTGATCAGTAAAGGCTTCCCTCGTGTTATGACATTTGAACTGGTAACTAAAAGAAACGAGAGAAGCGGACTGTGCATTTATTTATTTTAGAGATATTTATGGATGATTCCCATAGTAATTTAAATTGGAGAAAGTTTTGTGAGATAACA